CGCTTCATTTTTCTTGCAATTTGTTCAGCGTTCATATTCTCCATATATGCTAGTATTTTTCCCTTCTCCATGTCAGTTATCTTCATCTGAGTACGCGTGGATCTCATAATTACATATAATATTATTTATTATAGTGTTTTGGTGAAGTTGACGAAGAGAATGGCATAAAATCTGGTATTGATCTTGTACACATACAGATCGGGCGTTACTTTTTTTTGGGAACATTACATGTATAACACAATGTTTACTGAATCAAATTTCCTGATCTGTAGTTACATCCAATAGGAGTGCGGCAACAAACTCGACTCAAAGTGAGTGATATTAAGTAATTTTCATACATGTCTTCACTCTTCTAATGAAAATTCTAGAATCAAAAGAATTTGAAATGTGGTACAGTAAAACTAAGGTACTATCGACCCTCTACTATACTATACACATCAAAGAAAAGAACAATTATAAAGCTTTAATGTAACAAAACAATAATTACAATGGAAAACCGGATTGTGTTTATAATTATTTTATCGACAAAGAATCTTTTTATTTTTTAGATCTGCGTTTGATAGAACACCAATTTCAAATTTGCTAATTTGGAATCTGAATTTTCATTACGTCCGATTAGAGTCAGGATAAGGGTAAGGTATTGGGTGAGAGATAAGATTACATGTAAAATTGTCTTACATTTTTAATTAATAGTCCAAGACAGATTTATGCATTAGCTTTCTCCTAATATCAACTTTTTTCATCTCTTTGATTCGGATTTGTTTTGCTGGGTCGATCAAAAATTTGTGCATTCTTATTTTCCACACTCCTATTGGATGAATTAAGATTAATAAAACTGGTCTATGAATCAAAAACAAGGCATAAGACAAACGAATTTTACGTTACATGTATAACCTCCTATTGGATGAATCAATGAATCAAAACAAGGTATAAGATAAAAGAATTTTACGTTTCATGTATAACTTGCGTAGTAATTTTACAATAACGATAAATTTTCTTTTTGCACAAGCAGAAAGAGTTAAATATCACAGAATTCCAGCCATAAGAGTGTGGTATCGTTTAGACGGCACTAAGTTTTTTCGTCCTAGTGTTGCAATTTGAAGTATTACATGAGAAAACTGCCACATTTAAATTTTCCAACACAAGAAACTTTTGAATGAGATATTGCCGTGAAGTGTATCAAAACTATGAGCTGAGGCGTTTTGCGTTACCTAATCTTTAATATATATTAACTCGTTTCTACAGGCCTTATTCATAGTTGTTAAGTATATTATCTATTTTTATTTGTATACATAATTATTTTTCTCCTATGGATTCTTTTTTAGCATTCGTACATCATTTATTAGAACCTATACCTCAATATGTCCTAGGCTGTTTACCAGCATTAGCAACCATAGGAGCAGCACCTATGGAAAATTTTTTACATAAGCTAATCTGGGTAGCAATATGTCTTGGTTGTCCCTTCACGGGACTATTTTATACGTGCATCATACCCAACGACGAACTACCCATATTCTGGCTCCCAAAAAGTTGCTTTATGAGGATAGTAAATAATGATAGTTATGCAGTCCCTTACAAACCTGTCGGGCATCATGCCATGGTAATATTAAAGTCTGGCATCATTCCGCATCTATGCTAAGATTAGAAGAAGAATGTACAGCAAACGCTTCCGTGTTAGAACGATTGTCGTCGCTAGCATCGTTATATTACATTTCAATCGGTATCATCGCCGGGATATCAAGAGCGTTAGGCCCGAGTTTTTGTGAGGATTGGCCATATATACCAATGGCATTGTCCTGGACATTACCTGCTATTTTTAGAAGAATAGTTCATGGGAAACTACTAGTTAGAGATCCCAGGAAAAAATTAGGAAACAGAAGAAAAATATTTGTGAGGAAATTCGAACACGAAGAATATAAAGTATTCATACACACCCAAGTCGTTATCACAGCTTTAGCATCAACAACAGTTCCATGGTTAACAGTGCTCCTGGCCTACTATACACCGCCAATTGGATATTTTTGTCGAAGCATATATCTTACAGTAATTTGTTCCATATGGTCATTCAACAATATTGTTGGATACATACACCACTGGTTAGAAGAAAAAAATAAGATAGCTGATCAAATAATTGCTGTTTGGTTTTTTATCTGTGGAGTTATGATTGCAATTTTATTGTTTTTTCTAGTATTGCTAAGTAAACAACCTTCATGGTGGGTAAATCTGTTTGGCAATGCATGTGCTTCATGTAATTCTATGTAATTAACAGTAGAAATTAAGTAAATTATAACATGAATTTTATATATTAATATACTATATACTGAATTTACAATATTCAATAAATATTAATCTGGGTGATTTCAAGGTTTTATTTCTTTAAACTTTTGAAATCTTAGACTGTTATTCAATTTATCAATAAATTAGATATAGAATTCTTACTACATAATTCTTAAGTTTGGGAATACTATCAATTATACACAAATGAAATTCTAAATTTTATTTAATAAGACTGAGTTTAAGTTGAGTATTACAATATAATGATAAAAAAATTAGATTTCTCTCATCAATAATAATAACTTTGCCAATATTACATACTTTATTATAATAAGTGATATTAATAATTCTAAGTAGATCTGATTGAATAGAAAGAAATTAAGTTTTAAATTTCCAATAAATAAGAAAATATTTAAAGTTATAAATATCTTTACCAAACTTTTTTTGCCTGAAAATATATGTAAATTTTAAAATTATATTAATTAATTATATTTTATAATTTTATTTTAAAAATAAAAGAAAATAAGTTTAAAAGAAAATAGGTTTAAGATAATTTCAAATAAATATATAAAAATAGATCTAAAAAACTTTTACTAAACAAATTTGCTTGCTAAATAATTTAAGAGATAACTTAAATTTTTATATAATATAATTTTTTAATAATAGTATTTACTATTAATTTTCTTTTTTGAATTTTAATATCTATATTACTATTAAAATTGCTTATCTATGAATAATATTTAGAGTTATATTTTGGAATACTTTATTATTTAATAGAAATATAATCAAAAATTAATTTATATTTTTTTTTGATAATGAACTAATTAATAAATTAACTAATAAATTATTTTGCAGATTGATTTATTTATATTTAATCTTTATAATATTTTAAAAAAAACTATAATAATTTTATAATATTTAAGTTAAAAATATTATAAAAAAATATTATAAAATTTTTTATATTAGTTATTAATCATATAGTATAATTTGTTTATATAATAATAAAAAGAAAAACTGATACTTTTTTTAAATATGAATAATAATATTATATGATATAATAAAATGTTTATTTAAATAAAAAGTTATAATAAATTATAAAATTTCTTATATTATAATAATAATTTTCTCATTTTTCTTTTATTAGTTTAAAGATATAACAAATTTAATTATAATTTATTTCTTTTCAATCAATTTATATAATATAATACTTTTTTTATTATCATATATTACTTCTAAATATTTTCTGATTAATACTAATTTGATGTTCTTTTTGATTTCAAGCAATAATAGTTATATGCATATTTATCATTATATTTTATGTTTTTAATATTTAAATTTATATTAAATATTTATATACTTATATTAATTAAGAAATATATATATGTATATGTAATATCTAACTATGAATTGGTGCAAAAAGATTTGTATCTCAATATAAAAATCATTCAAATTTTAATCAATCTTTATAATTTTTTTATATTATATAAAAAATGTTCTAAATTAACTTTTTATACTATATTAACTATTCTATTATACTTTAATTTAATAATAAATAAAGTATTCTTTTATTAAAAAAAATTAAAATACCATTATTTTTTTAAAAAAAGATATTTTATATATTATTGCTATCAATTTATAATATTAGAACTTTAAATTATGCAAGCAAGTTGTTCTAGATTTGATAAATATATATTATAAATTTCATAAAAATTGAATCAGTAGTTATAAATATATTAAGATTCAAAGTTAAGTAATTAAATTATTTACTATATAATATTTATATTAATTTTAATCAAATTTTATATAGTAAAATTTGAGAAATAATAATTAAAAAAAGTTATTATTTTTTAAATAAATCCCAATACTTAATAACTTAATTAAATAAGATAGAATTAAAAGTTTATTTTGAAAAAATAATTTAGTAATATTTATCTGAGGTACAAATCTTTTTGCACCAACCCATAATTTACGAATGAATATTAAAATTGTCAATATAATTTTTCAATAGATTATAATTTTATGAAACATTTATTTTTGCTCACAAGTTAATTAATACATTGCCTGGAGTGCAATAAAATTTTATTTTCGATATCACGTTGCATATGGTAAATAATATGATTGATGCTAATCATATCATATAACAATCCCAATACATGTATTTGTCGAATGTGCCAAAAAAAGATCTGGTACGACACATTCACTCGGAATTTCGTTTATCGAGAATTGTTGGGATGTCGGAAAAAAATTAGACACGTTGTAAAATCACCGAATAATAAATAAATATGACACTATATTTTTCATTATTAACATAATAGCCTTTTTGTACGATAACAAAACTGGTTTGTCACTAATATTTTGCAATGTAATGGACATAAATGATTATTTTATAGCTTTTAAAGTTTTTTCGATAGTTTATGCGTGAAATCAGAATTGGAAATTATCTATAATATAATATCAAATCTTAATAGCGAAATACTAATAATAAATAAAGTTCATTAGGGCCTATTCTATTTATGTAAATTTGATACGGTAATTCACAAAATAGTCAAGGTGAAATTTATATAGTATACTCGCGAAATAACGAGCATGAGTGTAATTTCGGAATTTCGGCTTAATTAAACATAATATGGCTGCGAGTATACGGCAGGTGATATTTATTATTTAGTCAACGAAAATGATAATGAATTTTTTTATCTTATAAATACTGTAGCAATTTATTATGATATTTCATGCATTATTATCAAATTAAATAAATTTTAAGAAATATAGAATATAAACTTAATATTTAACCAATTTACGTGGATAATTTCCCATTTAAAGTTCCTCATGAACTTCAAAAATTTTATTTAAGAATCTTGTAAATAATCGTTTGTGCTTACTACATTGTAAATTTTATTATGCAGTTGTATTTAACATGACGAGCAAGTTTTATTGTATATAACCCAAAACGACTTTTTAAAACGATATTATTTCGGTGATTTTACGTCATCTCAATTTTTGTCACCCTCTGTACATGTCATGCAAATGTACATACCTGAGATTATATTAAAGTTAAGCGTTTTGTGTTCAAACTGATTAATTATTATATTATTTATTCACAAATAACAAACTTATATGAAGACGACTTCTTATTGACTTCACACTCCAATAAGTTGGTAAAGTTTTATGAAGATGCCAAATATTGCGATATTTCAATTATTTTTGGAGATATTTGAAATACTGAGCGAACTTTTACAGTGCATTCATCAATACTAGTGGCGCAATCGGAATATTTTGCTATTGTTCTTTCTGATGCGTGGATAAAACGAGAACCTAATAAGAAACCAAATATTGAACCGCGTATCTTTGAAACTTTATTAAGGTAACCGTTAATTAATGATAGTATTTTAAATTTATTAAATTGAAATTAAATTTCTATGGTATTATATTATACATGTACATATATAAGATTTATGTATAGTAGAAGGATCGATTTGTCAGATCATGGAGTGCCAACAATTTTAGATCTGTTGGTCGCCGCTGATGAATTGATTCTTGAAGATTTGATTGAATATATTCAAGAATATCTCTTGAAAATCCTTGGTTGAAAATTTTGCTTTGATTAATCAAACTGCTCTCCAACATAATTCCTTTGTCAAACTTCAAGAATTCTGTATAGAGATCACATGTAAAAATCCAGCTGCGGTTTTTCAATCCAATGATCTTGCAAACATTCAAGAAATAGCAATCATCACTTTGCTTAAATAGATAATTTAAATCTCAAAGAGATTAAAATTTGGGAAAAGATTATTGAGTGGGGAATCGCTCTTTCGGCAATGTCGATTTGCCGATTCCAGTGGAACAATGGTCACAAAATGAATTTAATCAACTCAGCTCTGACTCAAAAAATTGTATATCGTTAATTCGTTTCTTCCATATAGACTCTGTTAATTTCTATAACAAAGTATTGTCATACTTGGAAATATCACCAAAGAAATTTTACAAAGTTTTGTTGCACCATTATTTGGTACCTGGAAGTGAAGAACAACAAGCTTCACTTCATCTCACTCGCAATTCACACAACTCGATATCAACAATTCTTTCTCGAAACCAAATCAATGAAATTATTCAATGGATTATAGGACAAGATAAGGAAAAAAATTATCCATTTGAATGTAATTTATTATTACGTGGTAGCCGAGATGAATTTACTTCTAGTAATTCTCACCGTTTATGTGATAATAAAGGACCAACCATTGTTGCTATACGTGTCAAAGATTCTAACAAAACTATCGGTGGCTACAATCCCAATCTCTTGATTAATGGCATAGTCCGAAGTAAAGAGCAGCTTTTTATATAAATTTAATTCTAATGATTCCAATGGAAATATAAATCTTGTACATGTGCTTGTGTACATGACTATCCAACGTATGGTCCTTGTTTTGGAGGTGGTTATAACTTGAGTTTATTCATTTCTTCAGGTAATTATTGCAATAATAAATTTTATGAGTTTGGCCTTTTAGGTGAACAAGTTCTAATGATAACTTTTGAAATTGATGATTGCGAGGTAATAGAATTTATAGTTTTTTATTTCTTATTTTATTTGTTACTCGTTTTTCTTGCATTAAATTTTCAAGTAAATTCAATATCTCATGTAAATGTATACCAATTCTTTCGCTATAAATATATATTTTTATGATATTATGGGCATTATGCAAGAAACTATAAAATTATTAGACTTAGTTTGGATTTAGAAATGTTTTAAATTTGAATGCCTTATTTTTAGAGATAAACTGATTGAGTGCGCGTATTTTTAAAATAAATGGTTCAGAAGTTAAACAAATAATCCACCATTCTTAGTTCTTTAATTTTTAATTATATAATTTCTTAAATTGCCTGTCATGTATTTCTTATAATTCTTACTCAAAAATTTTTATAGCTAATAATTTACTATTTCAAATTGAACTTAAAATATTAATATAGTTCGAGTTTCTGACAAAGTCAACAAA